ATTCCTTCCAAGTCTTTCTGCAATCAAGAAATGTACTGAATGTAAGGGTTATAGATCAATTCAAAGTTAAGCCCTTGCCCTGGCTGGTTTGGCTCAGTGAATAGAGTGTCTACCCGCAGACTGAAGGGTCCCGGTTTTTATTCCAGTCAGGGGCACATGCCCGGGTGTGGGCTCAATCCCCAGTAGGAGGCATGAAGGAGGCAGCTGTTCAATGATTCTTTCATTATAGAAGTTTCTCTTTCCCTCTCCCTTCCTCTCTGAAATCAAAGTTAAGCCCTTGCCCTAGCCAATTTGGCTCAGTGGATAGAGTGTGAACACATGAACTGAAGGGTCATGGGTTTGATTCCCAGTCAAGGGCATGTACCTTGGTTGCAGGCTCGATCCCAAGCCCCGCATGGTGCATGGGGAAGGCAATCAATGTGTCTCTCAATGATGTTTCTCTCTGTTTCTTCCCCCTCCCTTCTACTCTCTAAAAATCAATGGAAAAATATTCCACAGATGAGGATTAACAAACAAAAAAAAGCTAAACCCTTGCTCTGGCCAGAGGCTCAGTTGGTTGGAATGTCATGCCATACACCAAAGGGTTTCGGATTTGATTCCCCATCAGGCCATATACCTAGGTTGTGGTACGATCCCTGGTTGAGGCAAGAATAGCCAATGTTTCTCTCCCACATAGATCTGTATGTGTTTCTCTCTCTCTCTCTCTCTCTCTCTCTCTCTCTCTCTCTCTCTCTCTCTCCCCCCTCCTCCTCTTTCATGTCAATGAAAATATATCCTCCGATGAGAATTTAAAAAATAAAATAAAAGGTTAACTGGATCAAAAGAAAGGGTTTTCAAAAACCTCTTCACAAATTAGATATTATATTTATAATATTATTCAGAGCAGTAACTGAGTATCTTTCATCTAAAAATAACATCTCATCTTTTACATACTGTTAGAATTCTTCCCAATAATCTTTTTTGGTTATATGTTTTATCAGATTTTAGATTTATAACCTTTTTAGATCAAACATTTTATCAATGAGTTAGATTTTAGATTATAATAAAATATGATTAAAAGATATCATAGATGCTCTGGCCAAGGTAAAATAGGTAAACACTGTGTTTGCTTCCTCCAATGACCACATCAAAATTACAAATAAATTGCCGAAAACGGTTTGGCTCAGTGGATAGAGCGTCGGCTTGGGGACTGAAGGGTCCCAGCTTCGATACCAGTCAAGGGCATGTACCTTGGTTGCGGGCATATCCCCAGTGGGGGGGGTGCAAGAGGCAGCTGATCGATGACTCTCTCTCATTGATGTTTCTAACTCTCTATTTCTCTCTCTTCCTCTCTATACAAAATCAATAAAATATATATTTTTTTTAATTACAAATAAATTATAGAACAATTAACCTGAAAAACCATCTGAAGTTAGCTGGACAGAATTCCCATAACTAAGGACATAAAGAAGCCACATTTGGTAGGAGGGGCGGAGACCCACATCACATGTGATGGTTGAGAATCATCAGGAGGAATATCTCGTCTGCAGGGGTCCCACCTAAGGAGCAAGGGGTCCCAGGCCCACACTGGGCTCCCCAGCCCAGGGTTCTGGTGCCAGGAAGAGGAGCCTCTACAACATCTGGCTTGGAAAATCAACAGAGACTCTATCCAGATGAGACAGAGGGGTGCTGGAAACCCAGGCATCCCCTTAAAGGGCCTGTGTACAGTCTCAGTTGCCCATACTCACCCTAAGCTCCTTTGAAGGGGCAGTAGCTTGAAAGATACCAGAAACATACATAGGGAAACTGACTTTTAAGGCTTTGGGTAAGGGTGGAGGAACAGCAGAGATTGTTCCTATGTTGGAACCACCCGCATCACAGCTTGAAGGTACAGGTGCTTCAGAGATCTTCAGACCCCAGGCAGGCAAGGACTGGCCTCAGAATGCCCTGTACTCCTGGCTGAAAGACTCCAGTCACAGCAATGGTGCCAAACCTAAATATTCACTCACCTGGTGAACATTAACCTGGTTAACACCATTTGCCTTACTCTGAAACTCCCTGAGACCTTGTTCCACCCAAAGCTTTGACTATTCCTCGAAGGCAGCCATCTCACTAGTGCTTCAAACTGTCCTAGTAACTCTCAAAGGTCCAAAGGGTCTGGGAAAGTAGCTAATGGACACACCAAGTCCTGTGCCTCTTGCTGATTGGCCCCAAGCCTGCTCTGTAGAGTGATCAGCCTTGGTTCACCGTGTGGCCTCTGCCACATGCCTTTAGGCCCACCACAGGCAGCTACCAACTGTGGATCACTTTGTAGCTCCTACTAGGTGGCCCATAGCCAAGCACAGGCAGCAGCTGAACAGGAGCCCGACCAAGAGTCTTCAAAACCAACATACCTGGTAGCCAGCTTCAGACCACACAAAGAACCACCCATTAGATCCACAAACAGCATACCCAAAGGGTGGTCTCAGCAGGCACCAAAGCTTCTCTGGGGCAAATCCCACTCCATGCGGTCAGTCCCTGCACAGCAAGCAGCTGGTCCACTATGATTATGGCTAATCCTTCCAGCCAGCCAGTCTGAGGCTCAACCCCCACCCAATGAACTGCAACCGGAGGGCACACACAACCCACATTCTTGGAGCACCCAGCTGAGATTATCAGAAAGACTGTGCCACCGGGCTCCCCAACACACGTACTATATAAGGACACTCTGCGAAGATCTACCTAATACATAGAAACAAACACAGAGGGGCAGCCAAAATGAGAACACAAATAACATATCCCAAATGAAGTAAAAGGAAAAAACTCCAGAAAAAGAACTAAACCAAATGGAGGCATGCAATCTACCAGAAACGGAGTTCAATGAACTTGGGGAAGAACAGATAAAAAGTTTCTACGGGGTTGAACATTTCTTAGGTTGAGAGCAGCCTCCCTCATAGCTAGTATTTCACTAAATATGTGGCTAGTCACTACCTAGCCTGCAGCTGGTCAGCGAGAAAAATCCATGTGTTAGATTTGGGGAAATAGGCTAGCAAAGGACAGCTCCCTGATTAGCTGGGTAGTAGTAGAATATTCTGAGATAATACCACAGACGCCTCCTGATCAGAGAAAAGGGGATCTCTGGAAGTCAGTGACTTAATCCTTACCAAACCAGGTCTATATGTGATTCTGGGTTTTATTCTTGAAACAGTTTGGGAACTGCTTTTCCAGGCTATGATACTCTGAACGTCTCTATCCCTTTCTAGGTAAATTAGCTAAAAGGGATTCCATTATAAAAATTAAGAAACCTTTCATATACACAAATTATAACCAAGTATGAACTTTACGGGTTTATAAATTTATAAACTAAAAGCACTACATATTCAGAAAAAAGGTCTAAAGGCCTGTAATAGCAGATAACATCCTAAAGTTTAACTCTAAAGAGAAAAGTGGGATTGGCATGTACAGGTAAACGAAGGGGTGAAGGAAGGCTTTCATTTTTCTTCTGTATACTTACTTCTTTTCTGTTTAAACATATTTTACAATGAGAAATAGTCATACAGTACTGGGAATTTAAAAAACATAATTTAAAATCATGTATGCAGCACATATACTAAAAGTAACTTTTTTAAAACTTTAAAAAATTAAAACCCAGAGGTGCCTATCAACTTAATTGAGAATAATAGTTTTACTGTACTTAACAAACTAAAAATATTCTGTGGTACATATATACACAATTTCATGTATTCTGACTTATATAACATAAAAACTTTATATTATCTTGGAATGGGTAATATGGGTAATACTTTCTAACTATGACCCAGAGGTATAATAGAAAGGAAAAAATAGCTATTTTTAACTAAAATAAAAATTTTAAACCTTAAATAAAGTTAAAAGACGAGGAAAAAAACTGGGGGGAATAATCTGAAGCATAATGGCAAATAATAGATTGATATTTCCTATATATAATGAATTCTTACAAATTGGTAAGAATCAACATCTTAATTTAAAAATAGGCAAAGAGCATTAACAGTCCTCCCTCTCTTTCTCTCTCTCTCTCTCCCTCTCTCTCTCTCTCTCTCTCTCTCTCTCTCTCTCTTTCACACATACACACACACACACACACACACACACACACACCCGGCAAAAAACATTAAAATGGTCAATCTCAGTTTTTTATCAATAAACAAATATTTGGTAATATCTAGTATTAAATATGGTACATGGAAAAGGACAGCCTCAGACACTAAATTTAGAGGGCAACCTGGAATACCAAATAAATTTTAAACATGTGTTCCATAAACAAAGCAATTCTACATTTGGAAAAGTATCTTAAGCAAATAAACAGATATATAAGGATAAAGACATTCAGGTACTATGAAAAATTAAACAAATAAATATTCAAAAATCCATAGTGTCTTATGATACTGCAAAACCACGCAGCCAGTACAAATAAAAATGTACCACCTCTGCCGAAACCAGTTTGGCTCTGAAAGGTCCCGGGTTCGATTCCGGTCAAGGGCATGTATCTTGGTTGCAGGCACATCCCCGGTTGGGGGTGTGCAAGAGGCAGCTGATCGATGACTCTCTCATCCTTCTCTCTTCCTCTCTGTGAAAAATCAATAAAATATATTTTTAAAAAATACCACCTCTGTTAGCATGAAAATATTTTCTAAATATATGATTAAGTAAAAAAGGCAGGCAACCAAGTAGTATTTTCTATTAGTGTTAAATACAGATTTACATAAGCATTTATATATATGCACACATATCTACAAATACACAACATGGCATATATTGTAGAAAACAGGTCTAAAATATTGCATACCAAAATGTATTACAGTGGCTAGTCCAGAATAATACAATCATAGGTGATTTTCACTTTCTTCTTCATACCTTTTGAATTGTCGAAAACCTGTACAAATGAATATGTATTGGTTTTCTGATGAGAAATAGTAATAAATATTTTCATTCTTGAAACAAAGAGCAATAAAATCACCTTATTAAATGCTTTGTGCTGTAATCATATATTACTATTTTCTTACCTTTAAACCTTCAGCTGGAAGTCTATAACCAAATCTTGCTGGAAGATCATCAAATGTCTGAGACACATTTTCAAAATTATACTAAATGTAAAATTAGAAACAATCCAGTTACAACCAATTTAAACATAACATTAAAAACAAAAAGTTTATTAAATTATTTGAGTTGTCATTTCCATAATTCTGATTTATAATCAGCTTATTACAGAAAAATTTTATAAATGTGTATCCACTAAAATAGCAAGGAATACATACAATTTACAACATATACAGCTGCTTAAATTGAATTCTGATTTCATATAATAATTAAACAACAGCAATAATTCTATAACATTAAACTGCAGACTATTTTCTGAGTTTTTCCCAGGGACAATACCCTAGGCACAGGATTTTCTAGAAAAATTTTTTCTCTGCAGGATTCCACTTTATTTTCTCTATATTATAGAGTCTGACTTAATAGAAGAGATTTACAGGATTTTTTGCCCTAGCTATGAAAAATGCATTTTCCCCAAAGCAAGGAGGAATATCAAATCCTACTTTTAAAACATTGTCATTTTTTATATAATCTGGAAATTTTTATCTAGGTCTAAATAATGAAAGGATTAAACTGAATGAAGTACATATATATAGAAAACCTATTTTAACAGTTTTCTCCTATTGATTCCTATGCTAAAATATCAGTCCTTGCCAAAACTGGTTTGGCTCAGTGGATAGAGCATCGGCCTGCAGACTGAAAGATTCCAGGTTCGATTCTGGTCAAGGGCATGTACCTTGGTTGCGGACACAGCCCCAGTAGGGAGTGTGCAAGAGGCAGCTGATCGATGATTCTCTCTCATCGATGTTTCTAACTCTCTATCCCTCTCTTTTCCTCTCTGTAAAAAAATCAATAAAAAATTTTTAAATAAAATAAAATAAATAAAAAATATATCAGTCCTCTACCAACACAGAACAAAAGAAATAGTAAATAAGTAACTTTAGAAACACAGACAAAACATGTATGTTGCATTAGAAATTCAGATAGTTGTCATAAACTGTAGGCAAAAAAAATAGAAAAATAGAACATATTTGTTTGAATATAGATAAAAAGAATGAAACAAAGCAAGAGTATTACATATAGATAGCCAAGGTTAGAAGAATCAAGCAAAATTTAAATATTCATAAACATGGATTAGATCGGACATCCAAGTTGATGGCTATATCATCCCTAAATCAAACACCTACTGGTGATCCCCATTTTAGCTTCATTTGTCATCTGCAGAGATATGCAGATAAATAGCTCTTCAGGTTAACAGCAAGTTACAGCTGTGTTCATATGCAAATACCTCACATCTCTCCCATAAAGCAAGCAAAGGTTGGATCTAGACATCTTCCATCTGTCAAGTCCCCTTGCTAACCTCACCTCATGCCCTGGTAACCACCCTGTCACCAGAGAAAGCTGATAAAGCAGAGAGAGACTGGACAAAATGATGATAGTAACACGGGACTTGTGCAGTGTATTCTTGCATTCCACTTGTACCCTATCCCAAGTGCCTCAACATATCCATTCCCTGTACTTCTCACTGTATGTTTGTAATTAATTCAATAAACTGTGTGATTACTCCTGTTTCACATAGTACTGGAAGTACTAGCCATTGCAATTAGAGACAAGAGGAGGAAATAAAAGGCATCCAAATTGGAAAAGAAGAAGTAAAGTTATCCTTATTTGCAGATGACATGATATTATACATAAAAAAACCAAAAGACTCCATTAAAAAACTAATTGACTTAATAAAAGAATTTGGCAATGTAGCAGGATACAAAATTAATGCCAAGAAATCCATGGCATTTCTATACACCAACAGTGAAACAGCAGAAACAGAGACTAAAAAAGCAATTCCATTTACCATTGCACCAAAAAAATTAAGATACCTAAGAATAAATTTAACTAAGGAAGTAAAGGACCTATATGCAGAAAACTACACGACACTGAAAAAAGAGATAGAGGAAGATGGAAGGAGATGGAAAAACATACCATGTTCATGGATTGGTAGAATCAACATCATCAAAATATCCATACTTCCTACAGCAATCTATAGGTTCAAGGCACTCCCCATTAAAATACCAACGGCATATTTCACTGACCTAGAAAGAACTCTCCAAAAGTTCATTTGGAACAATAAAAGACCCCGAATAGCCACAGCAATCCTGAGAAAGAAGAGTAAAGTAGGAGGGATCTCAATACCAGACTTCAAACTATATTACAAAGCCACTGTTCTCAAAACAGCCTGGTACTAGCACAAGAACAGACATATAGATCAATGGAATCGAACCAAGAACCTAGATATCAACCCAAATCACTATGCTCAATTAATATTTGATAAAGGAGGCACGAATATACAATGGAGTCAAGACAGTTTCTTCAATAAATGGTGTTGGGAAAATCAGACAGACACATGCAAAAGAATGAAACTAGATCACCAACTTACACCATTCACAAAAATAAACTCAAAATGGATACAGGACTTAAACATCAGACGGGAAACCATAAAAATACTAGAGGCATCCACAGGCAGCAGAATCTCAGACATATGCCAAAAGAACTTCTTCACTGATACTTCCCCTAGGGCAATGGAAGCTAAAGAGAAAATAAACAAATGGGACTACATCAAAATAAAAAGCTTTTTTACAGAAAAGAAAGCATCAACAAAACAACAAGAAAGCCCACGGTGTGGGAGAACATATTTGCAAATAATACCACTGGTAAAGGTTTAATCTCCAACATTTACAGAAAGCTTATACAACTAAACAAAAGGAAGATGAATGATCCAATTAAAAAATGGACAATGGACCTAAATAGAATATTTTCAAAAGAAGACAGAAGGAAGGCCAAAAGGCACATGAAAACATGCTCAAAGGCACTAATTGTCCGAGAGGTGCAAATCAAAACAACAATGCGTTACCATCTCACTCCTGTCAGAATGGCCAACATCAACAAATCAACAAATGACAAGTGTTGGCGAGGTTGCAGAGAAAAAGGGACCCTCGTGCACTGCTGGTGGAAATGCAGACTGGTGCAACCACTGTGGAGAACAGTGTGGAGTTTCCTCAAAAAACTGAAAATGGAACTCCCATTTGACCCAGTAATCCCACTCCTAGGAATATATCCCAAGAAACTAGAAACACCAATCAAAAAGGATATATGTTCCCCTATGTTCATAGCAGCACAATCTACAATAGCCAGAATCTGGAAACAGCCTAGGTGCCCGTCAGCAGATGATTGGATCAAAAAGCTATGGTACATATACACAATGGAATACTATGCTGCCATAAAAAAGAAGGAATTCTTATCATTTGCAGCAACCTGGATGGAATTGGAGAACATCATGCTGAGTGAAATAAGCCAATCAATGAAAGAGAAACACCATATGACCTCATTCATTTGTGGATGTTAAAGAACATTATAAACTGATGAACCAAGAGACAGATATAGAGACAGTAAAGCAACAGGCAGACTGTCAAATTACAGTGGGGAGGGGAGGAAGATCTGGGGGAGATAATAGATCAACCGAAGGACTTGTGTACATTCATATAAGTACAACCAATGGACATAAAACTCTGGGGAGGGAGGGTATGTATGGGAGGGAGGGAGGCAAAAAATAATCAATAAAATATATTTTAATAAATAAATAAATAAATAAATTAAACTGTGTGATTAAGCACCTGAATTTAGTCTCTGCAACTATCCACTGTGTCACATCTAGAAGATTCAGCCTGGTGTTATACTTGTTATACATGTTTTGTCTGTGTTTCAAAAGTTACTTATTTACTATTATACTTGGAGGCCAGCACTGCTTCTGAGTCATTTCTGACTGTAACACTAATTCACCTTTGCAGAGTGCACTAGGATTGAAACTGCGTTAGAGTCACAAAGTGCTGTTATATTCATCACCACATGCATCGTTTAACTTCCTAAGTAAAAGACCTTTCTTTAACTGATTAATTCAATTACAGTCAGCTCTGTGTTGAATTTGAGAAAGTCATTTAATTCTGCCAAGGCCAAAGACACTATTGTAAAATAAAGAACCTGATCTAGATCAACATAAATACACCAAAGAAAAATATAAATGTGTGCAAACAGTATTTTTTTAAAGATACTTTTAAAATTAGGAAATGGAAAATCTACAACTATACTAAAGGTTTTTTTTATCGTTTCCTATTATTAAGGAATTTCACTTTTTTACTAGAAGTTCAGAAATAAAATATCTGCCTTGACCTAGATAGTACTTATAATATTAGGACTTGGAATGAGTTTTGTTATTAAATGAGACCCGATTTTGAAATTAATTTGTGTTTTCTTAATAGCAAAACAAGGATTGTCTCACACTGCCTCATATAGTCCCACAAGAGGCCTAGTGCACAAAGTTCATACATGGGTTGGGTCCCTAGCAGCTGCCAGCTGCCAGCCAGAGGCCTTCCTTCATTTCACACTGCCCTCTGGTGGTCAGCAACGTTACAGCGAGCAATCAAACTCCTAGTTGAACTCCTGAGGGGACACTTTGCATATTAGGCTTTAGATAGATAGATAGATAGATAGATAGATAGATAGATAGATAGATAGATAGAGATAGATAGATAGATAGATAGATAGATAGATAGATAGATAGATAGATAGATAGATATAGATAGACAGATAGATAATAGATAGGTTGTTTAAAGAAACAGTTCTAATCATGAATAAGAGAAATGGAAACAGATTTAGCACAAAGTGCTTTACATTTTTACTACTGAGGGGAGACTGCTGCTCCTGAAATTAAAGCATGCTCAATATAAAATGTTTGAATACTATATAATAAAGAGGGAATATGCTAATTCATAATCACACCCTCACAAACATGGCGGCACCCACAGCCAATAAGGAGGGAATATGCTAACTGACTGCCATGCCCTCAAAGATGGTGACACCCATCGCCACAGATGGCGGCACCCTTTCTCCTGCCAGGGCCACAGGCATGCCACACTCCTGCCTTCGGAGTCCCCCAGTCCCCTTGCCTAGCTGACACCAGAGGTGCAGGCAAGCCTCAGATGGTGGCTACTCAGCCACCCAG